TCGAATGGTAATATATTTTGTTTGAATCGGATCACTGGAGATCGAGATATCACGTCCTAAATTGGCAGATTAATTTTTGTTAATGTTATTCGACGTCCAGTGTTCCGATTTGAAAAAAATATTAACATTCGATTCACCTCGACTAGGGTATATTTTTGTTCAAATCGGATCACTGGATGTCAAGAGTTAGATTATAATAATATTGAGATGTGTGTTATGAATGTTCTTTGTGCTCGGAAAATTTCAGAACATTACACATGATCTATGGAAAGTTATGGGGGGGGGGGTCCGTTACTTCTGACGAGCACTGTATATGACAAGCTTCAAAGTAAGCATGATCGTATTAATGGAAAAAGAAATAAGCGTAAGCGTTACAGGTAAGCTTTATTAATTATTTATATAATATATTATTTATAATAACATATTAACAAAATTATAGATTACATTGTGTTATGTTACGGCTTTGCGAAAATTATCGTGTAATATTATTACCCGAATTCGCACTCAAGGAATGATCAGACGTGGGCAACGACGCATTGGTTCCAAGACCGCCCGAGCTATGTGTACATGATCACATTTTAGCATCTGATCCAAAGGCACGTGAGCATCCGTCGAATAATTGTTTGTACATAACGATAAGCAAAACCTGTGGATTCTGTGGTTATATCCATAAAAAACTAGGTGAATCCAAGATGTTTTGCTGCCCCAAATGCAAAACAAATCTTGACAGAGATATTAATGGTGCTCACAATATTTTCCTTCGATACCTTACAAAAAAGGAGTCAGCTTAGACTGACGTAGGAGCCTATTCCCATACAGGACTTGTTATTACCTAATTTAGACTTTACTATAGGTTTGAATGTAGGCATACCGATACGTACTATTGTAGGATTTCGTTATCGAAAATGTATTAATTTATTTTTCTAAATAAATATATCGACTTGCTGCAAATATTGTTAGAAATCCAAAAAAGAGTTACGCTCATTACCAAAAACGGATTTTCTCTTTAGCATGTCAAATACTCTTGATTAATGATACAGAATCAACATATGGATATATATATAATCCGAAAAATCTATGCTCGTCAATTTATTTAATTTATGTCTATGTCTATTTTGCATTGTGTTTTTTGATGACAATTGATGATGTTATGAATTATTTATACATTGTGATTTGCAAAAAAATCAAATCTTATTAATTAAATATGTTGGAAAGGAATAGTAAAAGAAAAGTGAAGCTTCGACTATCGAGATTATGAGAGATGTTCAACGAAAACCTCGATTAGAAGGTGATATCAATTTG